GCAGAAGGACAGCTAGCTAGTATCTCTCTCTGCTACACATGTAAGAAATGGGCATCTAAGAGACACATAAATGCTAAATGCACTTTACTTTGTATTTCCCAATGTCAGTTTTAGGTTTCCATTTCCTCTGAGACAGTTTGACCTTGTTGACAGCAGGGGTAAATGCTTTATGTGGAAAAGAAAATGACTGTTTAAAAAGTGTAATTCTATTTTCTTGCTCCATTCTGTACTCCGTGATTTACTACAGACCTGAAGTACAAAGGCACAGAAACTTTACTGGTGTTCAGAAGAAAAGTTATTTTTAGTGTTGTTTTGTTGCCAAGGCGTATAGAAACCTTATGTGCTACCTCAGAAAGTTACTGGGGAATGGCAACGAAAGAGGGATGCCTGTTTCTTCGTGTTTTCTTTCCAACCACAAACCTTTTCTCCAATTAAAAAATGATGCACATATTCCAAAGGAGAAGTTGCAGGAGTCACCAAGCAGTTTGAAGTTGAATTAAGCATAAACGTGCGATCATTGATCGTGTAGTATAAATACAAAAGAAGATCTTGAACCAGGACAGTGTTTACACACACAACTCTACCTCTCTTCAGTAAAAATGCCTTCCTGAACCTGAACTTCATGAAGTTACGGTTGTTGACAACCAGAGAGGGAGAAACGTGGTTGCAAAAATGGGAGAGGAAGAGACCAGCTCTCCCAAACACAAACCACTAGTTCCACTAAAGCCATATATTATCAATATGGTATATGTGAAATAAGAGCTGGGTGACACCATCTCAAGGCATAAGGCAGGCAGGAAAGGGTGGCTCAGGAGTGCCCTCCTGGTGCTGGCACCTGAGTATCTCCAGCTTGGAGGTGATGCAGGGACTGGCCAGGCTAAAGATAACTTTTTGCCTGGGCCTAGGGGTGAGGGGAAGCTGAGAGTTCCTCTTTTTTCCAGGGGTGGTGTTGAAACTTGCTCAAAACACAGGGCTTGAGAAGTGTTAACTCAGCTTCAAGGGTAAACCACCATCTTTCAAATAAATACTTCTTGGGAACAGAAGGGGAAAGCCCTGCTCGTTTGCAGATAATACCATGTCCTGTTTTTTTTTCAGCAGGACAAAGATTTAAAGCAAAGTGTAGAATGACTTGCACATTATCACTGGCACCAGTCCAGGAGGGGAGGATAACGTTAGTTACAGTTGTTCTACAAAAATATTAGTTTGCTTTATCTCCTTCCCCATCGACTGCAAGTTTTTAAAAGCTATTGGTATACTTCACAGGCAAAACCAAGGAACTGCCCTTAGGCCAAAAACTTCTGAGCTTTCAGTGAGCTTAATACTCCCGTACCAGTCTAAGAAGAAAAAAACATCTCCTTTCCTGTAAGTTGTATATTGCTGGGATGCTGACAGAAAGAAAAAGATTGTAAAAATGTCTTATGGTGAGGAAGACCAAAATTCTGCCTAGAGACAGACTTTTGTCTGGTTCCAACTGGCTTGGATGCATGTACACCCCAAAACCAGAGGTGTGTCTGGAAGGAACAGCAGCAGTGCATCCATACCCACACCCACAGAAAGTATTGAAATTCAAGAGAAAAAAACGTAGGGGAGCTGGCTATTGACACAGGTTGAGACCCAAGAATAGATATTGGTAGATATGTTTGGGTGAACAAATCTCTCTTAAGGTAAGTAGACATGGAGTGAAAAGAGAGAGTTATTTGTGGTGACTGCTGGAGGTGAAGGAGGGGGAGGTCACTGCTTCAGGTTCTGCAAAGTGCTTACCTGCAGGAGTTGGAGGCGTGCAAGCAAACCTTCTGCTCCTTGAGTTCCTCACTCTGTCCTGCTGGGTACATCCTTGTGGCTGACTGCAAACTGCTCACCAAGGTTGTCTTCTGGCTTGGGTGTCCCCAGAGGCACGCTTGGGCATGGCTTCTCCTGTTTCCAGCAACGTGCAAGCTCATGTGGTGGCCTTTCACCTCAGGTCAGTTGGTGAGGAGGCCCTTGCTGGGACTCTCAGCTAACACAACTCATGGAAAATTCACAGTGATCTTCACTGCTTTGATGCATTTGCTTGTAATCTGCCAGCAAATTCAGAAATTATTAGGGGCGAGATGAAAGAATGAGATGAAACGTTGCTGGCACAAGATTTGGCCCCTAATTTTACCACCACACCTCACTTAAACAACATGAGCATAGAGCAATGAGTTGTTGGATACATGAATAATAAGGTGCTGTGATGGGTGATCTGGGTAACATTTGGGTGGATATTTGTATCACTTAAATGTATTTTTTACGCCTATTATAAATAACTAAGCACCTGATATTAACAGGAGATTTTTTGCTGCTGTACTCTATGCAGCTATAGTCATGCATCTACTTATACATAGCTACTATGCATACTCACCTATTGAAGAGGTCCAAATCCAATATGACACACTATATAATATATAGGATAAATTAAAACAAAAAGCCCACACAGTTGTCTCTTTATAGAAGAGGTACTGTATGGGAGAGAAAAGACATGATATTTACATACATTATTGAAATGTACACATGCAAAGTTGCCAAAAGCAAATAATGTAAAATTCCCCCCAAATCACATTCCTCAGGTCTCTAATTAATGTACTCTTGACTCTATTTTATGAAAATACTTCATGTTGTGCTTGGAAATGTAAATCCTCTTCTGTTTCTATGTATCTTTCTTCAACCACTGCAATGAGTTAAATAATAATTTGTAGATAAAGCCCCTTTAGTTACCAAAAAAATAGGTCATTAATGATGTCATGGAAAAGTCTATTTTTTCTGCTACTTCTCTAAGTATGTGAATGTCCACAATATTTGCAGAAAAGTGACTGTGCCGCAAGTGGTAACAAAATTGTACATATTTTCTGCTGCTTGTGCTCTGCCTTCAGAAGTTAGGACCGAGGGAGGAGAGGATTGGATACTGTGGAAAGGGAAAACAAAGTAAGAACATCTGTGAAATCACTAAGACGGGATATCCAGGATATTCAGCCTGCCACTGAATACAGAGAACAAGCAGTCTGTGTCACACACCATATCCAGTGGGTTTTAGCTCCCACACTGCACCCAGTCACTGCACACCCTGTGCCAAAGGTGACAAAGCCATCTATTCCAGATAAAACTAGCTAAAAAGTTTGATGGGAAGCAGTTCTTCATCAAATGAACTTTTAAAAAATATATAATTCAGTAAAGCAATAAAAAGCAATGTATATTTTATTCTAGTTTTAGAAAACGAAAATTCATGTATTTAAAATAGAAAAAGACATAGTTTTCAGACTTTAAAAAATGTAAAACTGAAGGATGAAAATAGAATTGCTAGTGAAAACATGTTTTTGTTTGTTGAAAAGGAAGGACAGCAGAGACAATATAACCACGAAATTGCTTTTGGGATAATGACTAAGAAAGCAAGGATGATCAATAAATATATGGGACTGGATCACCCACACTCTGGAAAGAAAATATACCAAAAGACACAGGTACTGAGACATGAAATTATGCTTATTATGGTATTAAAGTTATGAGAAACACACATGAAATATGATTGCAAAAGCAGAATAAAGAGTCAGGTAACAGATGTAATACTTTATCTTAGATGAGTGGACAATGGCAAGAAACGCAATACACAAGATGAAAATATAAGCTGGTATTTTCAACACAGGAGTAAGGATTCATATTTCATGCAAGCCAACTGCTGCATGTTTCCTTCAGCACTGAAGGTTATTTTAGAAGTATGAAAAAGATGAAAGATAAGATTTTATCCTCAGACAAATTGATTCCGTTAACAACACTGGGTTGCATGTGTGCAGCTTCAGGCACAATACATCCTAATCTGTTTAGAAGATGTTTCAGAGAGAACAAAAGTCAGGATCATTCCAAAAAGAGTGATAAAGTGGGCCGCTGATGAAACAGGTCTTTCCTGATTTTCAGCTGGGCTGAGTCCAGGGAGCTCCCATATACCCAAGGAGAAATGTCTTATAAATATGCACATGCTATGTGTTGAGTTATATTAGTTGTACATAAGTAATACATAGTTATTTATATTTAAACACTAATATTTTTGTATAACTAATATATATATAAAATAATATGTGATATATAAACTATGTATAACTTATATATATATAAAAAACTATGTATGTCCCTGCTAAATGCAGGGAGAGTTGGACCTTTAAATGTCCCTTCCAACCCAAACTATTCCGTGATTCTGTGATTTGATAAACTAATATAAACAAGGGAGGCTGAGATCGGTGCTGGAGAGGGATCCTACATTTGTAAAAGCTAAAAAGAAAAAAAAGTACAGTGAAGGGGAACATAGCGCAACGTATATGGAACAAGGATTATTTGCCACATACCCACGTCACATGTGTCTTCATGTATGCCCAGGGTCAAAGCACAGGCAGATGGACCCTGCCAGCCGCAGGCAGGGTTCCCCCCCGGCTCTGTGTGCTCAGCCCCGTCTGCACAGCATCTCCTGGGGGAGGCAAACACTTTTGTACACAGGCTGGGAGGCAGAGGCTGGCTGCCAAGTTTACTTTTCTTTGAATAAGTGCTCTCTTGGATCAGCTGCGTGCGGGGAGACTAAAGGGGATTTAGCTGAAACCGTCTCGTAACTCTGGTTTTGGAAGAAAGCAGCAGCAGCGACAACAAAAACACGAAAGGCGGGAGAGGAGAAGCAGCAAGCTAACTGCGCTGGAGATCCCACCTGCCAAACGCCGGCGGAGCAGAGCGCTTGTCTGTCTGTCTGGCTGGTGAGCCCGATGATCACATGCATCCCCGTCCGGCCCCCTCCCTCCGCAGCCCTCCGTCCCGCTGCACTCCTTCGCAACTTTTGCAAAACCAGCCCAAAGCGGAGGCGCTTTTCGCAGGCAGGCTCCTTTAGCCCTCTGCGTCTCCTGGGGAAGGGGAGGGGGGTTTTGCCAGCTGCCAAGGTTCTCTCTTTCCCCTGTTTCCAAATAAAGTCCTGGGACTTGCTGCGGAGCTTTCTGCAAAAGCAAACGGTAATGATTGCCCTTAGCAAGAAAGGCTCGTGTTCTTCTCAACTCTGCCTCGCTCTCTGCGCCTTTGGGCTGGCATTGCTGGGGGATGTGTCCCAGGCTGTACCCATGGACGATCAGGATTATTACCTGCAGGAGATAAGCAACAGGGATCATTATTATTCCTTTCCATACCCCGGTGAAGAGTTTTTTCCTTTCACGGAGCAACCTGGAGAGGAAGGACCTATCCGTGCTGCAGAAACAGAGGAGCACCCCGGGTTCAAACCGACCAGGAAAGAGTTAAAACCGAAGAAAAGCAACAAAAAAGGAAAATCCATTCTTGAAACTCCACCAGGTAACTTTCCACCTCCTCCTCCAGAGCTTGAAGTCTGCCGAATCTCATGCTGACTATGACTTTTAACATTAATGAATATCCAGTTAATGCCAGTCTTGGCAATAAAAACAATGAATGTGCTCGTGGTGATGGTGGTGACAACATGTTAATTTTTAAAATCCCACAGAACAGATCTACAGAACTTTTATAGGCTTTTTAACCCTTTCCTCATCACGTAAAGAGTTTTCAGAGGGGTAATGTATAAACTATGCTGCACTCTAACTAGTATATGGACTTTTCCTTCTTAATTACACGTGACAACTGGCTTGCTGTTAAAGCTGCTGGTCTATAAGCAAAAGAAGTGAGACAGATTCCATAGTAAAAGCTGATTGTATATGGTGACACCTTACTTCATCCCTTCTCATTTTAATCTAAGAGAGGTTCCTGAATTAATAGTACTTATAAACCTGTGAATTTCTTTGAGATTTCACTTTAAAGCCCTCCAGAGGAAGACATGTAAACAAAGATCTTCCTGTAAAAGGCTAAGCCGTAACAAGCTCAATTTAATTGTTGACCTGTAAAATAAAGAAACTAAACAGTAACAAAAATGCCTTATAATAAAAAGGCCACCCTTAGTCCCAATTTCTCTTTTCTGCATTTGATTGGATGAAAATATCCAATTATTAAAGTCTGCAGAAATTTGATCAGCTGTTACCAACTGGTTGTTCCCAGTAAGAGCTAACTGCACCACTCTGAAAGAAGAGTAATTTCTTTCTACGTTTCCTGAATATATAGTGTGTACTTTAATGGTTTGGGTCACGGGAGTGAGTTTGGCCCGTGAACTTTAGAGTTGTAAAATCTGCAGCCAAATCTCACTCCCCTACAGCTGAACTCCCCTTTACTTCAGAAGGAAACTTTTGATGTTAACAGCTAGAGAATATGGCACAAAGTTTGCAATTTAGAGCCATTAATACATGCAGTACAGCAAAAAGGAGCATCAAGGCTTGTAGAGTGATGTTAACTTTTCCCAGTTACATCTAGCAGATAGTAAACAAAGTATTCTCGTTTTAATGTTGACAGTAACAGAAATTAATTAACCTTTGATTAACAAAGATATGAGCTTTTATAATAATTAATAATGATTAAAAAATGCCATTTCTGAAACCTGGAAAAGTGTTTGTGGGGCAGTTTGGATTGCCTGTGTAACTCAAGGCAGAAGCCAAGGATGACAGCAAGTACACCTTGTCTGGAGGAGCAGAGACATGGGTCCCTCAGGGACCAGCAGCTAGGCAGCAGCTTCCCAAGTAGACAATACTGCCTGGACCATCTCAAGGACTGGCTTGCTAAATTTATTATCTAACCATGGCCAACACATGGATTTTAAAGCTACCTAAGTAAGCACCAGGCATTTTCTTCTTCAGCGTGCTGGGGACAATATAGATCTCCAGCCTGTAGCAGGATGTTCTGCAGTTCAGCTCTGCTTTCACCTCCCCCGTTGGCTTTTTCCCAATTTCCCCAGCACCATGCCATCACACATACTTCACCAAACATGGCGCACCATGGCAGCGATGAGGATGGCATCCAGTCTGTGAGGGCAGTGTTCGCTTATCTTTGCAGACAGGTGTCGTCCTTGTTCCCCACTCGCTGCACTGAGCACCTTACAGGTGCACCGAAGGCAGCAGCTGTACCAATAACCACCTCCATCTTTGTGGAACACTCATCCCTTCCAAACTTGGTTTGGTTTATGCAGTGTAGACGCAGCAGTACAAAATTCAAACTATATTACACTGATGACCTGTTAGGGGAGCACGCCGAGGTCTTACAGGTAGCCTGAATTTGGTCGTTTCCTAAGAATGTTTGATTTTACAAATGGAATTAGTCATTTTTCTATATGGGTAGTTGTGGAATTAGAAAGGGAAAAAAAGTCACCTTCAAGCCTTCCCCAGAAAACACTCCATTGTGTGCCCACTAATTGACTTGTGCAAGTTTCATCTTGCTAATTTACTGCCTTTTAGTTTCCACCCTACCCAACTCTCTGAGTCCAGGGAGTTGTTTTATTTCTGCAGTCAGGCGAGGTCCTTCCTCAGCCTCCTCCTCTTCCTCAGCATGGCCAAGCACAAAGTCAAAGGGAGCACAGGACAAGGTCATGAGTGCCACCAAAAGCAGCTGAAAACAGCTCAGTCCTCCTTCCACAGCAGCCTTGCGCTCTTTTGACACAGCTGAACCACGAAGCTCCGAGCTTTCACCAGCCTTGTGCAATAAGAGGTTTTAAAGCCTATGAGCTTTAAAGAAAAATTGCCAGAGGTACAGCAAACAGCTGAGCCCCTCCACCAAAATCTTGCTCCTTGCTCCAGGAGATAGAGACTTGACACCAACTCAATGAACCGGCTGTTAGACTTTAATATGGGAAATTTCCTAAGGAGCAGTTGAACAATTTTAACTGAAATAGCCATAATAAGCCCTGAGGCAAACACACAGCAAAGAGAATGGTTACTGTTTGTTAAAGATGTAAGTGAAAACAGGAGGTTTTTAGCAGGAGGTGTCAGGCAATTTTAACTGCAGACAGAGTTAAAAGTTCGGGCTATACTATTTGAAATTTCTCCTTTCTCCTCTCCCAAAGGCAAGCAAGGGCCAGGTCCTGCTGGTGCAGTGCCTCCAATGTCACCATGTCACCAGGGCTTGGTTTGAAATGAAGATCTGAAAATCAAGCCCCTCACAGAGGTGCCTGAATAATAATACTTACCTATAGTTTCTCGCATTTGGCCTGTTGACAGCTAGAAATAATAATAGCAGTTGCCAAACTGATATCCGTGAAGAGTAACTATAAATCTGGCTGTGTAAATATGTGTGTTGTGTACATAGGTATACGTTTAGCTGTTTACACGTATGTCCGGAACGGGAATTAATTGATTGGACATGCAGTAAATACAAAAATCTGCTTTTTGTGAGGCTCCCTGGCAGCCGGGGCATGCGGGATTAATTAGTTGTAACAAACAATAGTCTGGCTGGGAGCTGGGATGAAGAAAGCAGAGGGTCGGGAACGTGTGATCTACCCTTTGGCTGAGCAGCTGGTACTGATCAGCCCCAGCTTTGAATCAAAGTTGAAATCAAACATAGCAGTCTGAAGGACAGGGCACACAACAGATGACCCAGACTCAACTTATTTAAGACAGTTCCTGAAGGTGGTGAGAACATAGATATTTTCAGTTTGTGAAATATAAATGTAGAAAGAAATCCTATTGATGCCAATAGGGTTGCAGTGTCTTTTTGAAAAAAAAAATATTCTTAAAATCAATATTTGCAAATACTCGATTCAAATAACAGTTAAAAATACCAGTCTGCCTCCTTGCCCTTTAAACGACTCAGAAATGAAGTGGTACTAGGTCATCCTTGGAAGGTAAACAGTTGGATTGACAGGTTTCTGTATATACATATTTCCATTTTTTAATTCCATCCTTGTTTGTTTAGGCCTCTATCCAAAGCCCATTGAAATCAGTGGAAAGAGTCTTGTTAGCGTCAATGTTTTTCTTTTATGAGGCCTTTAATAGAGCTTAATATATGCCTTCTCAGCTGCCATCTGTGGGGCAGATCCCTACAGATGGTTTGGGGGTCTGCATACAGGCAAAAATTCATCACCGAAAGTTTTATGGGGCTGAGGCCCCCACGAACACTGCTTAGTATTGCACACCACTCTGGGTCATGACTGAACAGTTTCCGCTGTCAATCCTATTACGCTCAAATCTGCCACAATTAAATCTGTAATCATTTTAATTTGATTTATACAGCTTATACTTGTTATAGTAGTTCTTGTTTTGGCCATACCTCAATTCTGACTGCCTTTAGAAAACAAAGGAGTGGTGTTTATTTATGCGGCAGCGGTCAGAATGGGTTTTAGTGCACATTTATTCTGTATTTCACAGATCTTCCAGTGCTTGATCTCTATACGATCCAACATATCTCTGTGTGTAGTAATCATGATTGTCTTACCTGTTGTTTACCTCAGGCTTGATGAAACTTCGGATGCATCACTATTTACTTTCCCCATATTTGTTTATTTTTGTGTAATGTTGCCACCTTTTCAACAATGTAATTCTTAAGGTTTCTGGCTTGTGGTTTTGTTTTGTTTTTTTTTTTAATTTATGTAGTGCACAGGAATCTCTTAGATGGGTCAGAATCTCATTGCACCACGTGTCTGAAGAGGAGTCAGTTGGGGAAGGTTACGAAGAGAATAAAATGGCCAATACAAGCAACCACAAAAATTATCTTGGAGAAAGAATTTGAATGTATAAAAATAGACTGATAGTACATTAATTGAGGCATTTATCAAGATATGAGATAATGAAGTCTTGGAGAGACATCAATGAGTGAATGAGGAGGAAAAGCTGAATCATAGAGATGTTGTTCAGGAAAAACTGGAAAGATATTGGTGCAAGATGAAGACGTGAAGAGGGTGTGAGTTAAAAGACAAGACAAGTTTATGGAGTTACCAGCATTTGAATGGTGAATTTGTTCACAAGGAAGAAGATACAAGAGAGTAAGGCATTGAACTGATAGCTGAAATACAAAGAGGTCACCAAGATACACCAGGTTTCCAGCTAGAACAGAAGGAAACATAGAAGGGAAAGGTAGCCTGTGACAGCATTGCTTGCCAAAATCGTGGGTTTGGATGGGATTAGCTAGAGCAAAGGTGGAAAGGGAGGAGACTGAAAACAGGCAGGCTGAAGGCATCCCTAGAGAGTTAGGATGAAGTCTAGGAGCAAAGAGTGCCATCAAAGTCAAAGTTTTCCAAAGACATTTGAAGTCCAGCGTGTGGAACTTTGACGGCTGTTTGGAGATGTGGTAATGCCTCAGCACTCTGGCTAGGAAGAAGCCGATAGAAACATTGGCAAGGTGCCTTTGAGTGGAACGCAAGGGCCGAAAGCCAGACAGGGCGGGTGAGTGGCGTGGGTCTGGCAGGGAGCAGAGCCAGCAGTCGCTTTCAGTAGCGTGTCAGGGAGCTTAGAGGGAAGGTGTGAAGGGAA